GTAATTATATCTCCTTGCAACTCTAAGCATCTATCCCTCTTCTCTAATTTCTTCATCAGCATTTTTATTTTAGTGAAGGCCTTTTTATCAAATTTCTTAATCATGGTTGCTTCAATTTCTTCTATGTTATCATCACAACTATCATCCTCATCACTAGAGGAAACGGGTGTAGTATGTACCTTTTCCCCTTTTGCCATGAGACAAGTTGGGGTGTAGTAGTCGTTCTCGGTGAGGTTGGAGAAGAGCCTCGGTGATAAAGATACGTTGGAGAAGAGTCTTGGCGGTGAAGTTGAGTCGGGGAAGATCATGGTCGGTGAAGAAGAGTGGTGGATGGCGATGTTTGTGGCTCCCTTCTTCTTCTTCTCATCATCACTTGAGTTACTATCACTTGACTCCCATTCTTCCCTAAGATGAGCTTCACCTCTCTTCTTGCCTTTGTTCTTCTTGTCTTCATCTTTGTCATACTTGTGCTTCTTTTTCTCATTAGGACAATCGGCTATGAAGTGACCGATTTGACCACATCCATAGCAAAACCTCTTTTTGAACCTTCTCTTACCATCACCATAGGTCTTGCGGTTGCTTTTCTTCTTCATAAACTTTCTAAGAATTCTAATCATAAAGGCAACCTCCGTATCGGAATCTTCTTCTCCACTTGAAGAATCATCCTTCACTTTCTTCTTCTTTTCTTGACTTGAACCTTGACCTTCATGTTGTTGAGTTGCTTTAAGGGCCGCACTCTTGTTGAATCCCATTGCATTAGGATTTTGATTGTGAGCATTGATTGCATCTTCATCTAGACACTCATGATGCTTGAGCTTTGAAAGAACTTCTTGAGGTGTCATCTCATCATAACCTGGCCTTTCCATGATCACGGACGCTAGCATGTTATTCTTGGCTCTAAGGTTCTCAACATCTTTCTAGCAACCTTGTTGTCATCCCATTCGGTACTTCCAAGGGCTCTTATGTGGTTGACCAATGCCATGAGCCTATCAAACATGGATTGTGTTGTTTCATTTTGCAAGAATACAAATCTTTCTAATTTACCATGAAGTAACTCAATGTTGCCTTTCCTCACACTCTTATCTCCTTCAAATGATACTTTCAAAGTATCCCAAATTTGCTTTGCACTTTCCATTCCATTCACTTTTCTAAACTCATCCAGAGCTAGACTTGACACAAGCAATGCTACGGCTTGTGCATTTTGATGGAGGTTGTGCACTTCTTCCAGAGTTATCTCTCTATCTTCATCGGTAGGGATCATCACACCAACATCCATAACTTTCCAAAGTCTTGCGGCTATGAGATGCATCTTCATCTTGTAAGACCAATCGGTGTATCTTGTTTCATCAAAGTGAGGTGGCTTGCCAATGTTGACGGATGGAGTATGTAGTGTTGAACCTTTCATGATTTGTCCATAGTCAAAACTCATGTGTGAATATATTCCTTTTCCATGAGCATGCTCATCGGCTCCAATATCACTAGCGGCATCTTTGTTTGCTTCATTCTTGCCACTAGTATCATTCTTGCCACTTATTGCATCATCAACCTTCTTGCTTAATTCTTCCTTCAACTTGCTCATCTCGTCTTGCATCTTTTTCATTTCATCTTGAAAGAGCTTGGCTTGAGCACTCATCAACTCTTCAGCTATTTTCTTGACCATCTCGACGGCAACGGCTTGCATCTTGTCGGACTCCAACATTGTTTCTTCTCACGTGGTGAAATGCAAAGAGAAGACCTCGCTCCGATACCAATTGAAAGGATCTAACAATGCCTAGAGGGGGGTGAATAGACGTATCTAAAAATTTACTGCAAATGCTAAGTTCAAATTTGTTAGTTAATGTCGGAAGTCCCGACGTTTGGGTCGAAACTCCCGACGTTGTCAGAAGTTCCGGCGCAAACGTCAGCAGTTCCGACGCCTACGTGAACTACAAAAGCAGTGCCAAATTTAACTTTACGGATGAATAATCTTACAACCTCACTTCCTAGTGGTTTGGTGAAGATGTTGAGTCACTCCCTTGACGCCGTAATGCCTCCAAACCGTAGATGGAGTCCAAATCCTAAAATGGAGATTTGGGAGACAAAGAGACAAACACATACAAGTACTCTCTAGCAATCACAACAACAAGCACACGGGACACAATGATTTATCCCGAGGTTCGACAACCCCACTAAGGAGCTCCTACGTCCTCGTTGTTGAGGTGACCACCAAGGTCGGAGTCTTTTCCACCTCCTTGCCTCTCTCAAAGCGACCACAAAGGTCACTTGAGCTTTCCACTAAGAAATCGAAGGGTGATACAAACTTTCCAAGGCTCTTCCACAAGATGGGAGCTCTTGGGTAACGCCTAGCCGGCTAGGGGCAAAGCCCCAAGAGTAATAGACGCAAAATCAACCGGCTTGACGAAGAAATCAAGTGCTCAAGCTTTCCAAAGTGATGCTCTCACTTAATCCACTCTCCTTTCACTCAAACCCTAAGGAAATCGAAGATTGGAGCAAAGGAGGAAGGAGAGGGGTGCTTTAGTTGCTTGGGAGCTATTGAGCACGAAGTGAGTCAACTATGAAATGAGTCCGTAACAGTTAGAAATGAAGAGAGGAGTATTTATACTCCAAGTGAAAATCCAACCGTTCAGATCTACGTCGGAAGTTCCGACGCAGATCTCGGTACTTCCGACGTTAACAGAAAACACTGTACACAAAGAGTCGGAAGTCAGCGCGTGCAAGATAGTGTCAGAACTCCCGGCAAACGTCGGGACTTCCGACGTGCGCAGTAAACCAAACAGCCAGCACTGCAGATGCCGGGACTCCCGGCTTGGGTTAGGTTAGTGTCGGAACTCCCGGCGAACGTTGGGACTTCCGACGAGCATAGATAGCGAGCCAGTCAGAAGCACAGGTGCCGGGACTCCTGGCTTAGGTCGGGACTTCCGACTTACGTTGGGACTTCCGACACCGAAAGTCACAGAAAATTATTCTATGTGCTCGTGAAGTGCTAGAGTGACTCTCTTTTGATTTTATTTAAATGCTTGAGCACTCTATCTTCTTCAGACCAACTAAACTTGCGTCCCTCTTTATAGTGCGGCGGATTCTAAACTAAAAACAAAATTAAAACCTTTGGAGATCGTTTTGAGTTTGTGCGCCTTTACAACTTCAATAATTGAGGGATACTATTTCATCTTTATCAACTCTTTGAATCTTTTATGGGACTAATAGCTGCAACATATCTTATTAAGATCACATTAGTCCCTAATTTGGATGTCATCAATATACCAAAACTCATATAAAGGGCAAATGCACTTTCAGGTATATACAACGAATAAATATGAATCATGATGTTCTCGATAAATGTTGTCATGCCATCGTAGATGATGTACTTGATCAGGAATATCTTTTATATGATATAGGAATTGGTTATTCTTTTTTTTATTTGTCTATTACAAAGGAATTTGTTTTAGACACATGCATGCCCCGCATGCTTTTCTACTATAGTACTACAATGAATCTTGCACCTTTTGGTTAGACTCACAACTACATATTGTACACATTGCTGAAGGACATACAAAAATTATGAAAAAAATGCAGATCATTTTGTTGTTTATGTTGAGTCGGTTCGTAACTTAAGAAGTTGGCAATCAATTGGTCCTCTTTCATTTTTCCCATGATATCCATGGACAACATTTGACTTGAATGTTTGACATATTTTTCCCAGGTGGGATAGTAGGAAGAAACAACGGGAGAGATGTTCTGAGTTGGATAGTAGGAACAAACAAAAGTGGGAAGAGCAAGACATGAGACGCTTACAAACAATTTGCAGCAGAGCGTGAACCCATGAACCGAACGGACACAAAGATCATGGGAGAATGGGATATGATAAATAATAGGGGGAATTCCTTATGTGCCATTAAAAAAAGATCGCAATGCCCTGTTTGTCTCTGGAAAAGTTCATCGGTCTACAGCGTCACTGCTCTAACTTTTTTGTGCCCTCCATGCCACTGTCGTCAGTTTGGGCTTTAACGCCGTCAAACTGCAGATGTGAAAAGACGAAAATACCCTTAAGTCTAAATGTGTCATTAATTTTTTTGAGCATCTTAACGACTTCAAATGAAAAAACCCAAAACTAGAAAGTTTTTGATCTCGTCGAGATATATAATTTTCATATAAAAGTTATCTTCATTTAATTTCGCAAAAAAATATGATTTGATATGATTAATATATCTTAGAAAAATTATATTTTTTTGTGGAATTAAATGAAGATAATTTTTATATGAAAATTATAGATCTTGACGAGATCTAAAATTTTCTAGTTTTGAGTTTTTTCATTTGAAGTCATTAAGATGCTAAAAAAAATTAATGACATATTTAGATTTAAGGGTATTTTCGTCTTTTCACACCTGCAGTTTGACGGCGTTAGAGCCCAAACTGACGGCAGTGGCATGGAGGGCACAAAAAAGTTAAAACAGTGACGCTGAAGACCACTGAATTTTTCCAGAGACATACAAGGCATTACGATCTTTTTTAATGGCACACAGGGAATTCCTCCTAAATAATAAAGCACCAGTCTCCCCATAAAAGGTGAAACAGAGCATATGTTGTGACATATTTATAGCCTTCCTAACAAAACCAAACTTTTCCTTTTGTGTTTGTAGCCAGTTACAATGTTTCCAGATCTTTTCCCGTGCCCAAGTCAAAACGAGTAACGAAAGTTACAATCTTACAGAAAGGAACATCGTCACAACACTCACACCAAACTATCCATGAGGAAAGTTACCAGTAATGAGAACTCGCAAATTCTAAGCCTGCTCCTATATAAACTGTATTTTATCCACACTGTCAGTTCTCCTGTCAGATCAATATCTCCATTCAGAACTTTGAGCAAGGAACAGCTGCGCCGACCAGACTACAATCCAAATCCCACCACATGGGCAGCTTCCTTCAGACAAAGCAGACCAAAAATGGGTCAGCAAACAACCCTCATATGTAATTCAGGCATGTGAACCACAGGTGCTGCTCTAACGGATCTGATTTACCCTGCTAAACCAAACTGAGTGTAGTATCATGTGGAAAATGTCATACTTGACGGGATTTGGATGCCACAGAAAATGCTTCTGCACCCTTTTCACATTTGAGTGCAGGGTTATGTATCGACTCTCGGGTATTGCCAACAAGATCTCCTTCAGCTTAGGTACATCACTTTCTGGTACGACAACAGAGAATGCACTCCAGTTGAGTGCAGCATCAAATGGGAGAACAAAATTGTCGGCAATTATTACTGGAACACACTCATAATATATTGCCTCAACTATTCTCGGGCTGTTTACCTCATACCCCATGGGACAGATACAGTACTTGCTTGACTTCATATGCTGAACATAATTTCTCTTCCTAGTGATTCGGTGTGGCAGCCTACTATATATTCTCATATCAGCATCCTTGTCTCCCCAATACTTGAGAAGTACAGGTCGAACTCGACCGTGCATCTGCCCTGCAAAGAAGGCCAGGATAGTTCTCTGTGCGGCTGGTCTTCCCCCAATATCTCTTAGAGGTCTTCTTGGTGATCTAAGAAATGTTTCTGGAAGGGAAACATCTTTTCCACGGATAAAAATTCCTTCAGAGAGATCTGCATTGCAGAGAGCTTTAATAGTGTTCTTCCGCAATTCATCGTGCAATTTGGTTGTGTAAGGCCCCTGAAAGAAGATACAATGTCAGGTACATAAATTAATTTTTCAAATTAAATCTGTGTTCTCCTCGATAGTTGATCAAACATTTTCTAAAAAAAAGTTGATCAAAATACCAGTAAAAAAAAGGTAGTGATTAAAATCCATAGTTTACATGATGGTCACTTAAGGAAGAAAAATATGCAGTGGAGAAAACATACCCAGTCATGGCAAGCAACAAAGAAATGATCAGCTCCTTTTGTCCTATTCCAATATGGGTACTTGGCCGAGATTAAGTCAATGTAATTTTTAACAAAGATAGACAGTGGCTCAATTGTATTTGAGCCAGGCACATAAAGGTTATGCTCCAGTTGACGAGAGCTATATGGGAGATAGAATAAATGAGCTCTGTTTGGATCTCTCACAACAAAATTCTGGTTTGTCTCCATCAATCTCATAAACCATCCCTCAGATGCGTAGATACCTTTCAACTCTGGGGAATGGAAAATAGGTTTTGCTCCATCATGATATATGAAAACCTTAAGAAGTCTCTCCATCAGTTCATAACTCCTGGAAGCATGAGTTGAACACATTTTATAAACCAACACTGAAATGAAACAGCCAATGCACAGTACAGTCCAACACACAAATGGTAGTGTGATAAGTTAGAAAACACAATGCGTCATATTAGGAACTTAAGTTATCATTGCAGCTTCCTTTTATTAGGAACTTCTGCTCACGTGCTACTGATCATCCGATGTACAGTTGGTTGGCAGGATTGTACAACACAAAAGGCAATGCCATAAGTAAATAGAAGTTACTCCAATAAGTGATCATAGTGTCGAGCAAATTACAAATTAGTTCTATTTTTTGAATGGAAGGATAAACAAGGACATTGTTAAACACATGATTGAGCATTTGATTTTTAGAAAAGAATTATGGAACATACCAATCACAAGAGAGACAATATGAAACCTAGTCAGTTCCTTACCTTTTAAAGATGGACACATTCCGGAACAGGGGTGCATATAGATCAGGGTCGTCTGAGGTCAATGGTGCATTATTGATCTCTTTCTTTGCATATATAAGCTCTTCATCAGCTGCTGTTGACCAAAGAGGCGCCTGCTAAATTGTCAAGGTAAGAAAAGTATTCTTACAATTTTGACTACTAATACTAAGAATTGGAATCATATCCCAAAAGAGGTAAAGCATCAACCTCTGGCATTAGAGGCAGAACAGATTTGGTATCCATGACATGTTCTCCATTGGCATCAGAGCTCATTGTAGGCAAACCACTGGAAATGGGCTTCACAGGTAAGGAGGTTAAGAAAAAAAAATATGTAAGTTGCTACTTGCTACAGGAAAATTCCACCCATGATTAGTTAGATATGTACCTCTTTTTTGAGAAAAGGAGCTGATTCCTTTGGCAGATTTGTCTGAAGTATCAGTAACCTTTGATTAGAAGCTATTGAGAAAGCATGGTTTCCTAGCATTAAGTTGAAACATAACATGACATGCAAAAGGAAATCATGCAGTGATATGTCAACTTTTGTAGTGATCCATACCTTTATTTCAGGATGTTCGGGTTCCTCCATTGAACCATCATCAAAATTCTCTGCAGGTGAAGATGAAGGGACCAAGAACATAGAGGGGGCTGCTGCTGGAGCAATCCTAGCTGACAAATTAATCTGCAAAACAATCAGTTCGTTTTATGTACTCGTTTCAAATGTATCTCATTCGCCTGATTTACATGCACATTGAGAACAACAGATGTTTTATAAATTGTTACAAAATCAAGATTCGTCTGAATTCCTAAAAATTCTCTTAAACATTTACTGCGATTGTATCAGGGTTCACACCTAATCGTACTCAAGACTTTAAAAGTTGCCATCAAATAGTTGTCGATTTGCAGTTAAAATTCCTCGCAGGTTGTTCAGATTTCCCCAATTCGACCAAATTTCCACTGTAAACAAACACTATTTCGCTGTTAAAAGGTTGATATTTTCTTTCCATGCCTCCTTATAACAAATGCACCAAGGTAAATGGAAATCAGCACCCACCTCGCCCGAGGAAGAAAGCGGCGCTTCGGCTGGCGATGACGTGGAGGCGGCGGGGCCCGCGAAGCTTCCCGCCACGGCCGCGGCCGCCATTGTCTCCTTGCGGGTCCCCCCAGGGAGGGATCCCAAGAGATAGGAGCGCCATCGGCTGGGGTCCTCCGTGGCCGGGGCGGCAGCCAGGAAGAGCGTGAGCGCCGCGACAGCGGCACAGGCCGCGACTACGCGGCGCCAGGAGAGGAGCTTGCGCGCCGCAGGAGGATGCGACGGATTGGTGTGGTGGTAGTGCGGCATTGCGTAGGCCGCGGCCGCGGGAGGAGTGGTACGGACGGACGGCGGTGCTTGGAGGCTTGGGAGGAGAGTGGTGCGGCCGCAGTAGAAATGTAGAAGGACGGTGACGTCGGCGAGGTGTTTCTCTGACGTTTCAGTGTGTCTCGGGGACTCGACCAGACATCCGTGAGATGGAATTGACGGTGTTGCCCTCGGTGCGTCAAGGTAAGTTGATCTTTGATTTTTTTTTCTCGGTCTACATGGTTCCTAAACAACTACAATTGTCGGTCAAACTTTACGGTGCCGTTTCGATATTAACAGGGAAAGGGAAAGGAAAAGCAACGAATGACTATAATTAAATAAGGCGTGAAGAACGGATGTCTAGGATACAATATCTCCCTATCCCAATCTCCATCCCCATCCAAACATGCCCTATTAAGTTTAACTAGCTTTATAAAAAATATTAATAACATTTATACATGCAAATAAGTTTATTATAAAATAAATCAAAGATTCATCTAATAATACTAATTATATACTATTATTGATATTTTCTTATATATATTTATTCAAAGTTAAACAACTTGATTGGCGGCCTATTTTAACAGCACTGTAGCTGCAAATGCGCATAGTTGCTACAGTATTTACTCTCTTATACAACACCAGCTACTGCTGCAAAAAGCAAACAGCCGAACAAGCTTAAATTTGGGATGGGGGAGTATATCATAATTACATATGCTAGTGGGTTATAACTATATTTGATAGTGGACTGCTGAGGTAGATAGTTTGCATGTCAAGATTGAATTCTAATGGGGTTTAGAATTGTAAAGTACTAGAAGAACACCCCGCGCGTTGCTGCTGGTGAAATTATACTATTTATATTTAATAATATGATTGATTAAATACCATAATACATGTTAGTGGATGATTTTTAGTATTCTGATGTGGACAACTAAATATATGTTAGTAAATGATGTGGTTTGCTAATGTGAATAGCATGAATGAAGACATAATGGCATGTGTTAGTTGGATGTGTTAGTGGATGCTGATGTGGACACTTTGTGTGACGAGATAGTTAGATGTGCTAGTGGGATGTTATAGTGGATGCTGATGTGGACACTTTGTATGGCAAGATAATTTACTAGTGGGGTTTATCTTTATAAGAGATATAGATATAGAAATAGAAATATAGAATATAGAATATAGATATAGATATAAATATAGATTACAAAATGCTAGTTAGGTATTTGTTTGTCTGAGCTTAGGTTCTAGATCTGACGTGGGTGTCTATATTTTTCTGAACTCTTTCGGTGGTAGTCACAGGTCTATCGATAACGAAGTGTCTATAACGACTTCATTAATCTTAAGATCCTTTAATTCAATCTTTTGGATTGCTTATAGTGGTAGTGACGAGTACCCGTACCCTAGATACCCTCTCAACTTAATGTAACTCCACAGAAGACTAACCCCTTCACGACTCCAACATTCGGACAAGGGCTCAGAGGCTATATCCACAGTGTGCGCTCGCACGCCTCCAATGGAAGCGATCCTCAATGAGCTCAGGACCCTCGTCCAACCACTCGAGAGACTCTACGACACGCACAACTCGGAAACAATATTTGAATTTCAAAAGATAGCATTTTAGTGCTCAGAAGAACAACCTTCTAGAACATGATTGAAGGAGCTTGATGAATCATGAAAATGAGATGGGCATGAAGAGAATTCCTCGGCTCTTCCAATCGATCAAAAGCGGATACTCTTGGAAAGACTAATGATCAAAGATTGAAGTCTTGTTAGGCTAAGACCGATGCTTACCAATTGGCACATGATTGACACCACTTAGAGGTGGTTTCCTAACAACCTCAACATAAGAAGCCTTAGTTGCAATTGGATTTGAACCCACTTTCTTCCATGGTGCTACTTCTTCATGAGAAAATTGTGAAACTTACGAACCCATTTAGGTCCACCATCTCCCCAAAGGTGGAAGAATATTGATCATAAGAATAAAATTGGGGAATATGGACAAAGAAACCTACTTCTTTTGAGGAGGCAAAGAACTTGAAAACACGATGATCGAGCAATGAGACATTGAAGTTGTTGCCACTCCAACCAGAGTAGCCTAAAGGATATGAGCAACAAAATCTTATGAAAGGAGAAATTTGCAATGTCCAAAGGAAACCGGAAGGAAGAAAGGCCCATGACCAACACTATTCGTGGTCACCATCAAACCAAACTTGTGCCAAAGCATCACTTCCTGATCTCAGCTAGAGGAAAAGTTGAACCCTAGAGAAGCCATCGGAAGGGAGGAAGAAGAGTTGTAAAAACATCTAGCAAAGAGCAAAGCACACAAAGAAAGCATTGGGATACGATGACAGACAAGGGCTATGAGGGAGCCCAACAAAGCCCGTCGAGGCCACTAGGGGACTGTTTGATTGGGTGGCCAACCTTAGACCAGGCTTCAGGAAGCCACCTTAGAGTTGTTTGGTTCCCTGTATGGACCCTTTAGCTAGGCCTAACTCAGCCACCGACCACTCCTTGGCCTGGCTAGCTAGAAACGGATTGCCATCTCGTTTTCTCGTGGCCAGGCTTGGCTAGGCGCAAGACTCGATTCCCGTTACCTCTCATCTCCCGTCCTCCCGATTCCGGCGGAATGCTCGAACCTTCCCATGTCTGCGGCGAAGCACAAGCAGATCGACCTCCCCGTCGTCCCCTTTGTCCCCGTCGAGCCACCCCGTTGTCCCCCGCGAGCCTCCCCTTCGACCTAGAAGAAGCCCTAGTCCTGGCAGGCTGCATGGAGGCACGCAGATTCTTCCGAGTCGAGCAGTAGGAGCCTCTGGTAGTCAATGGTGGGGATGGTCATCGTCGCGTCGCCATCGTCAGCAACGACGATATCCGTGGCCACCTCTAGACGGAGATACCTCGGTGGCACTGGTGCATGACCGCGCGGTGGCCACCATGGCCTGCACGTTGGGAACACCCATACTAATACTAAAACACTTGCTGAAGTTGTCCGTCGATCTTCTACGAAGTCCATGGAGACCATGCGGGGCACACCACGGAGATGTGGCATAACCGCCTAATCTAATGCCCTCTCAAGAGTACTTGTCTTCCATTAGACACGAAGTACCCAAGAGAGTGCACTAAATCGTGCCGTTCCATCGAGCACACCCCAAGGGGAGAACTCGAAAATTCACAATTTTCCATCAGGATCATAAATGAGAGAATAAAGCTTACAACATATTTAGCCATTTCTTACATCACTTAATTACCATAGTAGAATATTACCTCAATTGATTATAACAGCGGAATATAATAATGTTATCAGAGCTTTCAGCGGATATGTATATGACGACAAGTTTAAGCGCTAACATGAGGAACATTTATATACATGGAATGATAACAGACTGTAAGTCTTTTCCTTTGCAAAAACATTTTGTGACAATTTGAATAAACTCTACGTCAGCAACGGAAGGAAATCCTCGCTGAACCCACCAGGAGGTTTCCACACACAAAAGTCATCTATCTATCCTCCGGTCACCTAAAGCATGGGGAATAAAACCCTGAGTACTCGATTATACTCAGTAAGACTTACCCGACAGGAGGAATTGAACTAAGACTCTCTGAGCTAAACGAATCGAGAGGCAGAGCGCGCGGTGCTCCCACTGTGGTCATGTCATGGAGAGGCACATGAGTGAGCTCGAGTGGATTAAGACGGTGGCTTTGACCGATAGCTGTAGTAAGAGCACGTACGCACAAGTGACGAGACCGGGGAGGGCTTGGTGCGACGCACTTGAATTGGAGCGGCCGGACCCGAGCAGGCCGCACCGACATCGGCTAGCAGGGGCAAGTGAGGCAGGACGAGCAGAGAGGCGTCGTTGTGACCCTGTGACTAGGGTCGGTTGACCCAGACGCGGCGGGCGGTGGCACGAGCTCGCGGTAGGTGAGACACAGGGATAGGGCGACTGTCGCATCGACACGATGACAATGGCCACGACCTTGGCTCGACCCCGTGCGCGGCTCAGCGGACATGGTGGCGTACGCATGCAGCTACAGCGGGGGCACACAACAATCGTATTGCGACGATGCCTCACCACGCGACCGCGTAGCGGCTGCACCGGCGTCACACTCGTGTGCAAGCCAGGCCAGGGCACAGCTCGGCCGGACCGACGTGCAGCATGGGCAGCGATGAGACCGCCACCGACAAGGTCACACGTGGTGCATGCGTGCGACGGTGCGAGCAACCACGCGTGACGCCGCACACCCGAACACGGTGACCGCGCACCGTCCGAACGGTTGCCCTAGGTGACGTGCACGTATTTTAAAGCGTGTCTAAAAACTAACCTAACACAGTTAAAGCTAATCTACCTCGACCATGCTAACGAGGGTACATCAGTCTACCATAAGGAGCAAAAACACGGCATTGACCTTTAGCTATATTTTCTAGAATTAATTCACCAACATGGCATTATCACACTGTTTCCAAACTTAAAATCTCTTCCAAGTCTTGAGCTGAATTTGACTTCAAGTTCCATTTCCAAGCCATTAGCTAGTCATATTATTTTTCTACAGCAAGAGTTGCATTGTCATGTACAAAGTTTGTATTTCAAACTTTATTTAAGTATCACACACATGTTCTATAGTATTTTTGCTTAATAAAAATTGATTTTCAATCCTACTTTATATACATGAGCTATTGAATCAACATTGATTTAACATTTTTATTGGTTATTTTAGGTTACAAGAAATTTATTAACACCTTCTATCACATGCATTATTACATAAATATGATGCTCATGACATGATTTAGTAGTTTATTTAGGGCGTCA